CAGCAGGGCACTGCATGCACGCAGCCTGGCCGGTGAGGTTCTGGTACTGCCCTGCGGCACAGTCGAGGGGCTGGATGGTGCCTGCATTCGGGCAGAAGCGTCCCGCGGGGCAGTCGGTGCAGCTGGTGGCGTTGAGCTGATCGGCGAACGTGCCGGGAGGACACTCGTCGCAGGGGTGGACCGCGCCGGCTGTGGACTGGCTCGTCCCCGGAGAGCAAGGGAGGCACGACTCGGCACTGGCTGCGCCAATCACGGGCATGTAGAAACCAGGCGCACACGGGAGCGGTTCCGCTGTGCCCTTGGGACAAAAGTGGCCTCGCTTACACGCACCATCGCAGGAGGAGTTGGTGCGGCCGCTCGTGTTCCCATAGTAGCCAGCAGGGCAGAGGTTGCACTCGGGGACGCTGAAGTCGCCAAAAAAGGAGCCCTTGCGCGGCATCCAGCTGCCCAAGCGGCAGTCCCAGTCTATCGGCGAGTTGACTGCCTCTATCGTGGCACCGTCGTTGTCGTCGCCAGCGGTGTTGCCGGTGAAGGAGGCGTCGCTGATCGAGGAGGGCGTGTTTGAAAGGTACAGCACCGAGCCTGAGATCGCCGCTCTGTTGTCGATGAAGTCGATACCCGCGATGGAGAGGGAATCGCTGCTAAGCGCGTAGACGACGCCGCCACGCTGCGGTTGCGAGGAGAGAGCGGGGCGTGAGGCAGCCGTTGCCCTCTCTGTCTCTCGCCCCGCTGCCGTGCGGCGCTGCTGGAGGGAGGCTAGCTCTACGCGGCGCACAGAGCCAGCAGAGCAGCTCGTCAGATTCGAGCCGATTATCGAGACCGCACCACTGCCAGACGCTTGGACGACGCCGCCGAACTGCGGTTGCGAGGAGAGAGCGGGGTGAGGCAGCCGTGGCCCTCTCTACCTCTGGCCCCGCTGCCGTGAGGCACTGCAGGGGTGCGGCTAGCTCTACGCGGCGCACCTCGCCAGCCGAGCAGCCCGTCACGGTCGAGCCGCTTATCGAGACCGCACCGCTGCCAGGCGCGTAGACAACGCCGCCGTCCTGCGGTTGCGAGGAGAGAGCGGGGTGAGGCAGCCGTGGCTCTCTCCATCTCTCGCCCCGCTGCCATGAGGGGCTGCAAGGAGGTGGCTAGCTCTACGCGGCGCACCCAGCCAGCAGAGCAGCCCGACACGTTCGAGCCGCTTATCGAGACCGCACCGCTGTTTTCATACGCGTAGACGACGCCGCCGAACTGCGGTTGCGAGGAGAGAGCGCAGCCGTGGCTCTCTCCATCTCTCGCCCCGCTGCCGTGTGGCGCTGCTGGAGTGCGGCTAGCTCTACGCGGCGCACATCGACAGCAGAGCAGCTCGTCAAGGTCGAGCTGATTATCGAGACCGCACCGCTGTCCCGCGCGTAGACGACGCCGCCCTGCGGTTGCGAGGAGGGAGCGGGGTGAGGCAGCCGTGGCCCTCTCTACCTCTGGCCCCGCTGCCGTGCGGCGCTGCTGGAGGGAGGCTAGCTCTACGCGGCGCACCCGAGCAGAACAGTCCCTCACGACCGACTCGATGATCTCGACGTCGCCTGCCTGGTAAGCGTACACAACGCCGCCGAAGTCCGCCCTCCCGTTGACGAGGGTCGAGCCGATTATCGAGACCACACCGCTGTCATACGCGGAGACGACGCCGCCGGACTGCGGTTGCGAGCAGAGAGCGGGGTGAGGCAGCTCCGTGGCCCTCTCCATCTCTCGCCCCGCTGCCGTGAGGCGCTGCAGGAGGCGGCTAGCTCTACGCGGCGCACCTCGCCAGCCGAGCAGCCCGACACGGTCGAGCCGATTATCGAGACCGCACCGCTGTCCGCCGCGTGGACGACGCCGCCCACCTGCGGTTGCGAGGAGAGAGGGTGGTGAGACAGCCGCAGCCATTTCTGTCGCTTGCCCAGCTGCCGTGCAGCGCTGCAGGGGTGTGGCTAGCTCTACGCGGCGCACCCCGTAATCGCCAGTAGCCCTGCAGTCCGACACATCTGAGTCGATGATCGAGACCGCACCGCTGCTAGACGCGTAGACGACGCCGCCGTCCTGCGGTTGCGAGGAGAGAGCGGGGTGAGGCAGCCGTGGCCCTCTATCTCTCGCCCCGCGCTGCCGTGCGGCGCTGCAGGGAGGCGGCTAGCACTACGCGGCGCACATAGCCAGCCGAGCAGTCTCTGACCGTCGAGTCGATGATCTCGACGTCGCCTGCGCCGCTCGCGTACACAACGCCGCCGAAGCTCGCACTCCCGTTGACGAGGGTCAGCCCCCGCAGGGTGAGGCTGCAGCCGTACGAGAGGTAAAAGAGCCCGGTCTGTCCCTGGCCGTCGAGCGTCGCGCCCTCGCCGCTGCTGGCGACGGTCACCTTGATGCTGGAGACGCAGCTGATCTGGCTGCTCAGCTTGAAGTCTGCACTGGGCGGCAAGTAGATTGAGACGTCGTCGCTAGCGCTCTGGATCAGGGAGCGGAGCTTAGCCTCGCTCGACGCGGCGACAAAGTCCGGGGAGAGCGGCGGCAAAAGCGGAAACGGCGGAGACGACGGAGGGAGGGGGGCGAGGATGAACGTTTTGCTGCCGGAGGATCCGGAGTCGAGCGTGAACGTATAGCCCGCACCCTCCCACTCGTCGCCGGTCCAGCCGTCGCCCCACGAGTCGTACATGTCGAGCGTGCACTCGCCGGGCGGCGCGGACAGGGTGCCAGAATAGGGAGCCCCTCCACTGCCGATCAACGCGCCGCTGCACGTCAGGTCCCACGACACCTCGGACGGGTAGCTGCCGCCACCCACAGTGACCTGCAAGTCGATTGAGCCAGACGTGTGGGCTGATGGTGCACATGCCAGCGGGAGCAGCGCGACGAGAAGAAGCAGCCTCGCGCCGCGACTTGATCCCTGCGCGAGGCGCCCAGAGGTGCTCCGCCGCACTGAGAGCAGCACGCCGCCGCACGCTCCGAGCAGCACGAACAAGGCGGCCCAAAACTGACAGCGCTGCTGGGTGCGGACAGGCGCGGAAGAGGAGGGTCCGCTCATGAAGGGAAAGTGGAACGGGGAGGGTAGGTCAATGGAGAGCTCGTCGGCCGGTGGGTCCGCGGGCGGCTTGTCGGTCTTGGAGCGCTCGTCGGTGAGCGCGTGGCGAGGCTTCGCGTGCCACGCACGGGCAGCGCCGCGTGGCTGCCAGTCGGCGCACACACTTGGGACCGAGAAGAGATCGGACTCGACCGCGTTCGAGTCGGCGACGGTGCGGACCTCTTCAGGCCACGCTGGCTCCCCCAGCGTGGCCGTGAGACGAGGGTTGACGGCCCGGCAACGCTGGAGGAAGAGGTCCTTGGTTGGGACTCGAGAAGCGTCCGTCAATCCGTCGTTCGCCCGCCACTCGCCGCCGGCGTGCATGCTAGCGACGGGCGCGCCGAGGCCAGTCTCGACCAGCTTCCGCACCTCCAGCATCCCAGGCTTCCCAGCGTCAGCGGGCCGCAACTCGGGCGACGTGTCGTTCACGGGCAAGACGGTGTCGCGTCCCCGAGCGATGATCCCCGATCTGCTGCTGTAGACGGGACCGACGAGGTCGATCTCAGGCTCGCCCTTGCGCTCCATGCTGTTGCGCGAGGCCGGGCCGGTCTCCAAGTCGGCCTCGGCCTACTCGCAAACAGGCAATCGTTCCGTCAGCGGGTTACAAAGCTCGCACATAGAAACAGCCAGAGGGGCGCTCACCGGCTGCTTCTCGTAAAGGTCCTTGACGGACGCCAGCGGCTCGCCAATTAGGTGCAACGGCTCGCCCACCGCCTCGCCGATCTTGTCCATCAGTGCTTCCCAGAAGCGCTCCTCGTCGCGTCCGCCCTGAACGGCGCGCGGGCTGTTAGTCACGAGCTTGCGCGGCGCGGATACTAGCACGCGCGAGCGAGCACGCACCGGGTGGTTGGCGGGCGCGCTGTCCGACGATACGATGGCCACAAACGAGCTGGTGTCGATGCCGCCAACCTCGCAGAAGCCGTTAAGCGATGCCGGCGCGATCGGCGTTGTGACTGCGGGAAAGGAAGTCGGGGACTCGTGCCACTGCGAGGAGAGAAGCGCGGAGGGGGCAGGGTACGAGGAGAGCGCAAACGCGGTTCCGAGGCAGATCAGCGCGAGGATCCCAAAGAGGCGGAGCAAGTTGTAGGACTTTGACCACGGGAACCGGCCGGCGGCAGAGCCCTCGGGCGTGGTATTCGTGGTCGTCTCGACGTTGGCCGTCGCGCCCTGAACAGGAGGGCGGGAGACTGGCGGTTGAGCGGCGAGCGGGGGGGGAGGCTGCATGTATGCAGGCGGCGAGCACCGAGTCTGTGGTCGACGGCGTGGAGCCGCCGGTCACCTTGCCGGTGCCGCCGAGGATGCCCTCGTTGCCGTCCATTTTGAGCAGGGCCCCGAACCGGTTGTTGCCGCCGACCGGGGCGATGCTCTTGGTGCGGACGATCGGGGCGGACGCGCCCTTGCGCCCCTTCTTGCGGCGCGGGTTCGACGGGGTGGCCCTGTCGGGGATGCCCTGCGCACGCGCAAGCGGTGGGTGCGTCAATAGTTGAGGCTCTGCGCGTACAACCGCAGCGTGCGAGGCGCTCACCGCCGGGGCGAGCTTCTCCGCTAGCGGAGACTCCTTGCGCTCGATCTTGCGGAGCGGGGAGGGGGTCTTCCACCCGTCGATGACCTGCGCGCGCGTGCCGTGCGGCAGACGAGAGGTCACAGGATCAATGTAAGTGCCCGCCTGTAGGACTCGCGTGTCCCCGCAATACCCGCGTGTGCTTCTGCTGGGAGGTGCTCACCGCCGGGGCGGCCGTCTCCTCTGGAAACTCCTTCCAGTCGGCGTCGCCCTACGCGTCGAACGCGGGATGGGGTCACAGAGTGGGTCGGCAGACGCCGGCGCGCACCAGGCGCTCGCCGCCGTGGCGGCGGGCTTCTTCTCCTCCGGAAATTCCTTGATCGACGGCAGCGGCGCGCCGCCGGCCTCCGCCGGCTTGAGGGCCGTGGCGACCTCGGTGGCCGGCTTGAGCGCCGGGTTCTTGATGGCGCCGGTCTCGTCAACGCAGGCCTCCGCGCCAGACGTTGCCGCAGGGATGTCCTTCTTGAGGGCGCCCTTGACGGCGCCGGTGGGGGCCGTCGGTGGGCCGGTCGGGCGCGTAAACTTGGACCAGAAAACGGCGGGCGGGTGGGTGGCGAACATGGCCTTGGCCTTGTCCGAGTCGACCGCGCCCGCGTCGGGCGCCTTTTCCGCGGCCGGGTCCTTCTTGAGGACGTCCTCCGTGCCAGACTTTGCCACGGGGGTGTCCTTGACGCCGCACGCCTGTGGGCGAGGGAAAGTACGCACAGGCTTTCAGAGACGGGAGAGGGATGATAACGATCCTGGCGAGCGCACGCGCACCTTCGCTCCGAGGAGCGAAGGCGACACCGACTCGGAGATGACGAGCGTGATGCGGCCGTCGTCAGCCGGCACGATTCCGACCTTCGCGAAGGACTTCATCGGCGAAGACTCGCCCGCGACGTTGCCGCCGCCCGCGTCAATGCCGTCCTTGAGCGGGCTGGGCTCGCTCTCGGGCGGGATGCCGACGGCCTTGGCGCCGGCCGGATCGTCGACGGTGAACGCCTCGGGCACGGCGTCGAGCGAAACGCCCGCAAAGTGGACGCCGGCGAGCGAGCCGGCGGGCTCGCCCTCGGACGGGACGTTGCCAGTGCCGGTGTTGGCGGTGCAGGTGCCGCCGGTGCCGGTGTCGATGCCATCCTTGAGCGAGACGGGCTCGGAGGGGATGCCGACGGCGTTACCTCCGTCAGAGTCGACGACGGCCGTGTTGTCCGCCAGAGACGCCTGTCAGCCACAGAACGCGAGAGGGTCGTCTTGCAGGGAAGGCGCAGCGTTGCGTGCGTTGCAGCGGTGCGCGTGTGCATACCCCCTCCCTCAGCCACTGCAAATTAACGCACACCTGCTTGTCAGCAAGCGGCGGCGGAGGAGAGAGCTTGAGCACGAGCTTGTCACCGGCGGCCGGCACCAGCTCGAGTTTGAGCATGTTGATCGAATGAATTCCTGCAGAGAGTCAAGAAGCGGTTGAAGGTGGTGTCCCCGATGGTAGGTGCAGGCCAGCGCTCGAGCGGCCATCGCGGCTGCGGACACAGAGTCTTGGCACTCTCTAGATGTAGCAGAGATGCGAGGCGGTGCGAGTACCCGCGTAAGAGAGGGAGGGCGGTCGGACGGGTTCGCGCGGGACAAGGGTGTGGAATGGGCAGCAGCGGACGCGTCTCGCGGCCTCCTCCATGGCAGCGGCTGTACCTGCGAGCGGGAGTAGGCAGGCGGTGCGAGGCCGAGGGGGGTACAGCCGCTCGCGCCGCGAGCGAGGGCGCATCGCGTGGTGGGGGTGGTGAGGGGGCGGCGGGTTCCGTGAGCAATAGGCGTCGCGGGGGTCTAGGTGTGCAGCTCGCGGCTGCATAGTCGGGCGCAATGCGGCGCGGCAAGCGCGAGCGGAGAAAGTGCTGGCCGCCTTACGACTCGCTCTCCGCGTAGAGCTCTAGAGGGCGTTCACGCAGAATTTTAGCGTCTTCGAGTCACCGTTCACAGTTGTGGATAAAGCGCCTGTTCACGGCATGGAGGGTGAGCCACACCGTAACGTACCAAACGTAGAGCCGAGCGGAAGGAAGCCGGAGAAGATGACTTCGAGGAGGACGAACCAGTGGAAATCCAGTTGTCAGATGTCACGACGCATCCGAAGGGGACCCCAGCGCCGGCATCATCCGTAGAGGTACAAGTGTTCGAAGAGAGAGTGGACCTGAGCAACGACATGACTGGGTGGCAAATGATCGCAGTGGGCATCAGAAGACTCGTCCTTGCGCGAGGAGAGCTCGATAGACTCGAGGGGCCAGGATACGCCGCGAGGAGGACGGAGTTGCGCAGAAAGGCGAAAGAAGCCGCGAGAACAAGGGACCGGCAGGCGGCGGCGCCGCAGGACGAGGCAGAAGAGAATGACGCGACAGAGGAGGAAGTGACAAGGCTCAAGGGAGAGAACGACGAGAGTGGGACGGCCGCGAGGTGGCATGAAGATTGCAGCGAGAAGCGGCGAGAGACTGCGAAAAGAGATAGGAAGAGGCAGACTCCCTAGGGTGGCGTGGGCGACGGCTAGCGCATCACACCCCTCTCCTTAAAATCCCTGTGTGGTGGCGGCGTGCCCCCGTCCTCCCATCCCTCCCTTGGGTTGTCTGTTTTCTTTCTTTCTTTCTGGGCACGGGACTGGCGCGCACTGGCACTAACACAGGTACACCAACGGAAAAAGAATTCTGCGTCATTGCCGCTCCTGCTGTTACGTCTTCGGTCCCCGCGGGAAGCCCCGCGCATAGGACAACAACGGCCCCGGGCTGCGGATGGTATTATTGTTGGTTCTCGCTGGTGGTTGTCGAGAAATAAAAAAGAAAGAAAATAAACCGCGTTCTGCGCCCTCCGCTTTTTTTAATCCTTTAAAAATTCTTTACTCCTTTTCCAAAGAAGAAGTTTCCCGAGATGATCGCAGCACGTGTTGAGCATGCCGCCGAGACGCGCGCGCGTCGCCGTGTACTTTGAGGGCGGCAGCCACCGTCAGCGCGGCAGGGCCGAGCACGTGGCCACGTTGCGCGTCTGGCGAGAGCAATGGGAGAGGGCAGGCTTTGAGGCCGTCATCCTCAACGAATATCTCTTTGATCGCTCATCGGGTGGTCGAGTGTGAGAGAGATTTTTAGCAATAGCCAATACCAAAAGAGATTTTTAGCAATAGCCAATACCAAAAACAACTCCGTCTACCGTAACACTCACCACGTCATTTGGGGCCTGGAGCCCTGTGGCTTCACGCGCGCGCGAGACGTGCAGACAGGGTTGCCAGGTGAGAGCGAATGGCGCGGTTCACGCCTCGCACAACAGAGAGAGAGAGAGAGATGCGCTCTGCATATGTGGTGGGACATAAAAGAGAGCGAGTACTTGCTAGTTGCTTGGGCGAGTAACCCGTAAGGTCAACGCGCGCTGCTGCCGCGCGCGCGACTTTGCGCGCGTTTTCGTGTTTGTTCGAGTGCCGACGCTTTTTTCAGAACGCGAGACTCCACACCCCACACCGCCCCACACGAAAACTTGTCTTCGCTCTTCCCTGTGTTCCCGCGCACAAACTCAAGTGCAGGAGCCGGAGGGGGGGGGGTCGGGCAACGCAGACCCGGGCACCCTCCGTGAGCGTGCGGGCTGCCGCTGCGATGAAGTGTAAAGGCACTAAGCAGAGCCGCCGCGCCCCGCGCCCCGCCCGCCCCGCCCGCCCCGCCCGCCACGTCCACGCCCCCCTCGCCCCCCTCGCCTGCCGACCGCCGCCGTGACGCCCGCGGGCTGAGCCTGGGGCGCGGTGCGAGTGGGCGGCTGGTGGACAAACGTCGTCTGCGCCGCCACCAGCCGCCCAGTTGCGGCGATGGGCAGCGCCGGCTGGCGGCAAGCCGGGCAGTTGCTGTCGCGCTCCAGCACGCGCGGCGCACACGTCTCGCAGTACAGCGCGTGGCCGCACGCGAAACGGACCGAGCGCGGCGCGTCGTAGCAGAGGTCACACTGGCGCTCCTCGGCCCCAACCTTCTCCTCCACCTCCCCCGCCGCCTCGACTAGCGCCTCCAGCCGCGGCAGCGCCTCTGCGAGCGGCATCCGCCTCTTCTTCCTCACAAGAGCCAGCCCGACCACCAGCCGCGCCAACTCCTCGGCTTGCGCCGCCGACCAGCCCGCGTCGGCCGCCGCGATCGATCCCTCCGCCGTGTCGGGCTCCTCAAGCGCATCGTCGCACTCGTCGAGGAGGCCGACGGCGCCGCGGCCCGTCAAGGCGACGAGCAGCGTGATGCCGAGCGCATAGCCGTCGGTCAGCGCTGACGCCTGCCCGCTCTGCGAAATGATCGGGTCCATGTACCCAAGCTTACCGAAGAGGCGCTGCGTCGACAGGTGCGACACCTGCTGGCTGCCGCCGGCCGTCGCCTCTGCCGCGCGCGCGAGGCCCACGTCGGCGAGGTAGCCGTTGCCGCGCTCGTCGAGCAGGATGTTGCCCGCCGAGACGTCGCGGTGCAGGATCATCGGAGAGCGCGTGTGCAGGTAGTGCAGCGCGCTTGCGGCGTCGCGCAGCACGCGGAGCCGTGCGGCAGAGGAGAGCGG